CTTCAGTCTTCCTTATTCATCATCCAGCTTTCCCATGCATATGAGTCCATTGAAAACACCATGGCTTCGATCAGGTGCACTTTAGTGCTCAAGGTGACATCTTTGCTTTTTAACACTTTAAAGAGGTCTTTTGCAGCAGATTTGCCCAATGCAATGCGTTGTTTGATTTCTTGACTGCCGCTTCCATGGGTGTTGATTGTGGATCCAAGTAAAATGAAATCCTTGACAACTTCAGTCTTTTCTCCATTTATCATGATGTTGCTTTTTGGTCCAGTTGTGAGGATTTTTGTTTTCTTTATGGTCCTTCAAGCCAGAAATGAACCATCGACCTTATAGTATAGAGTAGAACTGCCCCACAGGGTTCCTAAGACTAATCTTTACAGAAGCAGACTGCCATGCCACATCTTTCTCCCGAGGAGCGGCTGGTGGGTTCAAACCCCTGACCTTTCAGTTACCAGCCAAGTACTTAACCACTGCACCATCAGGGCTGCTTTCTACATGATTACTCACCAGGTAAATACAAATGAAAACCACACTGAGATGATACTACAGCACACCGGAAAGGCTAAAAGTAAAAAGACTGACCATACCAAGTGTTAGGATGTAGAGCCGCTGGAACTCTCCAATATTGCTGGTGGGTGCGTACACGGGTACAGCCTCTTTGAAACTGTTGGACACCACCTCCTAAAGTTAAGCATCTACCCTATAACCCCCTCCTGGGTGTGTACCCGAGAGAAATAAGTGACTACCTAAAGAGGGTATTGGTTAAGTAGTAGAATTTTTGCCTTTCATGAAGGAGGACCCAAGTTCAATTCCTGACCAGTGCACCTCATGTGCAGCCACCACCCGTCTGTCAGTGGAGTCTTGCATGTTGCTGTGATGCTGAGCAGGTTTCAGCGGAGCTTCCAGACTAAGATGGACTAGGAAGAAAGGCCTAGTGATCTACTTCCAAAAATCTGCCGATGAAAACCCTATGGATCACAGCAGTCCGGTCTGCAGCCAAACATGGGGATGGCACAGGACCAGGCAGTGTTTCGTTCTGTTGTGCATGGGGTTGCTGTGAATTGGGGGCTGGTTCAAGGAAGCTAACAATAGCATGTATTAAAAGACATGTACAAGAATATTCATAGCTGTTCTAGTCCTAATAGCCAAAAGCTAGAAACTACCCAAATGTCCATCAGCAGGAGAATGGATAAGTTATTTGTGGTTTATTAAACAATGGATGCTATGTAGCAATCAAAATTGTAAATACTAATACATGCAGTAACATGGATGGATCTTGTAGATGTCATGTTGAGTAAAAGAAGCCAGACACCAAAGAATAAAAAAATACTGTATGCATCCATTTATATGTAGTTCAAGAACAGGAAAAGTAGCTGATGGTGCTAGATGCCAGAATCGTGGCTATTCCTGTGGGGAGTACTGGGAGAAGGGTTCCAAATGAAGCTGATCCATGCCCAAAATTAGACTTACAGTAATGCAGTAGTCCAGTTGAATCCTCTGACTTGTTCTAAGCTGAGTAAACAAAGGAATGGAACCATTCGGTAGGTTCTGAGATTTTAGCTATGAGGGCCTTGAAGTGCACTGGTTAGGCCTGTCTGTCAGTTAATGAACACTAGAGATCTCTTGACAGAGGGTCAGATGACACTGGCCAAGTGTCACCTGCGTATATATCCAGAGCGCACTGTATTGGGTCCTCCTTTTATAGAGGATAATTTAGAAGTACCTTTTCAAATATAAATTTTAAACTAGTCATGTCCATTGATCCAGCAGTTCTGCTTATAGGAATATATCCTGTGAAAATACATGTTCACAAGGATATATGCCAAAGGATATTCATTGCAGCATTGTTTGTAAAACTATTTAACATATGAGGATACTGTCTTAGTCATCTAGTGCTGCTCTAACAGAAATACCACAAGTGGATGGTTTTAACAAAGAGAAATTTATTCTCTCACAGTCTAGGAGGCTGGAAGTCTGAATTCAGGGTTCCAGCTCGAGGGGAAGGCTTTCTCTGTCGGCTCTGGGGGAAGGTCTTTGTCATCAGTCTTCCCCAGTCGAGGAGCTTCTCAGCACAGGGACCCTGGGTCGAAAGAACACGCTATCCTCCTGGCTCTTGTTTCTTGGTGGTATGAGGTCCTCCTGTCTCTCTCCTCACTTCTCTCTTTTATATCTCAAGAGAGACTGACTTAAAACCAACCTAACCTTGTAGATTGAGTCCCGCCTCATTAACCTAACTGCCGCTAATCCCACCTCATGAACGTCATAGTCATAGAGGTAGGATTTACAACACATAGGAAAATCACATCAGATGACAAAATGGTGGACAATCATACAATACTGGGAATCATGGCCTAGCCAAGTTGACACACATTTTTTTTGGCAGGGACACAATTCAGTCCATAACAGAAACCGATGTCAATAATTTGTCCACGGTTATTCAACTGAAGAATAAAACCAGGAATTTAATGGAGACGTCTTTGTCTCAAAACCCTCTACTCTCTCTTTGTACCTAGTACCATCAGTTTTCACAGTAGTTTCAAAGCAGCCGCAGCCTTGGTGAGCAGGCCCAAGTGTGCCTCCAGTGAGAGGCCAGCTGTGTGCCTCCAAGAACCCAGGGAATTTATAGGGCAGGATGTGTCCTCTGGAAAGGCTTCACTGCACTCTCCCAATCAAATATCCAACAGTCCTCAGAAGTAGAGCTCCAGAGGGCACAGGAAGAACCGGAGAGGGGATGATAGGAAGAAAGACTTCAGCTCCCTCTGCTGGCAGTAAGAAGCAGTGTAAGCCAGTGTAAAATCCTGAGCTAGGGACTTGGCTTCTCAGTTCACCTCTACCATTTCCTTACTGTGTCACTTTGGACAAGTCACTCATTCTCCCTGGGCCTCAGTTTTCCCAACTGTAAGAAGAAAGGATTGAGTGAGAGAATCTCTGTGGTCCCTTGCAGTTCCCTTCAGTGATTCCACTGGGCACGCTTATTCCATATCTTCGGTAGACATCAGCCTCCCTCCAGCTCCCATGCCCCTGACTCCCTCTCCAAGAACGCAGCTAACTAGAGATTTCAAATCAGGATTCTAAACCAGCTGGCTCTCACTTCCCCAGAGTATCCCCACAAGTATCTGGAGACAGTAGTCTCAGTATACTTAAGAGTTTTATCTAGCTTCAGTATCCCTCAACCATTCTTGATATAATGTGGTTTCCAGATCTTCTTCCATTTAAAACATTTTCCCGTAGCTTGTTCCAATAAGTCCAATAAGTGCAGCATCAAAAAAGCAAAAACACAAAAAATAAAATTTGAGCACAGCCTCCCTGGCATGGATTTATGAGGGAGGAATAGAGCAGGCTCTTATCTCCCTCATTTTGGTCCCTACACTACTATTAATGTACCCTCTCATCTTACTAGCTGTTTTAACCACAGTCGCTTTGCTAGTTCTTATCGTGCATGCAGTCCACAAAACCTCCAGCCTCTCTTCTCATGACCTAGAGCTAAACCTAGTTCCCTCCAACTCAGTCCTTGTGGCTTAGCTGTGTATGTGTGTGAATCTGTATTAACTGCTACAGAGAGTGAGAGAGAACCACCCAGGAACCTGGGTACAGATGTCAGCCAAGATTTCTCTGCGTCAGTGTGTAGCAAGTTAAGTTGTGAAATGATTGTTTCTTTAGCTGGCTTAGGTCTCTTTCTTTTTCTCCCACTCTAGGAATGCCCACACCCACCTTCCACCTGGCTAACACTTGGAGAAGGGTGTTCTGAATATTGCCCAGGTTTGCCGTCCTCTGGCCTTACTTTCTCCAATGGCATAGCAGGATGGAGCAGGAAAGGAGAGCAGGCCATCAATCTGAGTTCTTGCCTCCGTGCCCAGCCAGCTAGCAGGGTCTCTTGGCCATGTCCCACGGCCCTTTGCGTCTCCGAATCTTTTCCTGAGCCTCTCCTTCATGATGGGAGGACAGTGGAAGGAGTTATCTCCAACTTCAGACCCCAAAACCCTGGACTCTCAAAGCTTGAGATCTGAGACCTAAACAAACCCCGTCCATCACATCACTAACAGATGGCTACCCACCCCTTCCAGACTGCTTGCATACTTCCATTTATAGGGACCTTAATATTTCTCAGTTAACACAGTGACTACCTATTGTGTGCCAGGAACTGGGTGAGTTACCTTCACAACACACTGTGATGGTGCCATACCATAGCCATCTGACTAGTAACTTCTGGGGTTGGACCATGTGACTCCCAGCCAGCGGGGGATGGGGGCATGTCCTCTTCTCCAGGCCTCCCATCACCTTCCCTGAGCACCACCCTGGGGTGTTTTGAAATACCTCCCCTTTACACACAGGAAAGAGCAGAGGTTGAGAAGTCAGACAGACCTGGTCTTGGATCCCCCAAGGAGACCTGACTATCCGGGTTCTCTATGTTCCTTGTCGGGCCTGGCCTCCTTCCTGGCAGTCACGTGGTGTTTCTTGATTCGTTAATAGTAAAGATATGATAATGCTGTGTATTTGTGTGGTGCATTAACTTTTCAAGTTATCCTTTTAGTTAATGACCCACTTGTTAATGCATTCCAGGTACTGGGCACTGTGACGAGGGCGCAGAACTCTGAATTAGAAAAGCTAGCAGTCCAGATAAGATATGTGTCACCTGTTGATCCTCGCAGTAACCCCAGGAGGTCTCTAAAGCCAGGATGGTTACCCCCATTTTATAATTGGAGAGACTGAGCCTCAGAGAGGTGTACGACCACCCTGGGCCACGTGGCTGGGGCGGGGCCAGGACCAGGACCAGGGAACCTGACCCCAGCTCGGGTCTGCTCACTGGAGCTTGTGAGTGCACAGCATCGTAGGCTGAAGGAAGTAACTGGTTTTCAGACTCTCGCTGTTTTGTGGATTATGCGCCCCCATGTCCCTGTCCTCCTGTAGCCCCGGGGACACAGTATCCTTTCCCCAGCAGCTCCCCCCAGCTCGCTCACATTATTTATTTACACGTATTTCTCTCTTTTCCCCGCCAGGTTGTGATCAATTATTCAATCGTGAAAGGGCTGAAGTACAATCAGGCAACGCCAACCTTCCACCAGTGGCGAGATGCCCGTCAGGTCTATGGCTTGAACTTTGCCAGTAAGGAAGAGGCCACCACCTTCTCCAATGCGATGCTGTTTGCCCTCAACATCATGAACTCCCAAGAAGGAGGTAAGCAGGGCTTTGTCTCATGTCTTCCTGGCTTCCCACAGCTCTGCCCTCTGGTGTCCCCTCACTGCTGCTATGTTGAGCCGATTTACGTGGGGCCCCAGAGAAACCCGCTGCCAACTCTCTAGATTTAAAGAGATGTTAACGATTTGAAGGAGGAGTGGAGAGAGTTTATATCTTTGCCATTTGTGAGAAGTAGATTTGTACTGGAGCCTTCCTAACGCCGTGTATCCAGGTCTGTTTTACGTTTGCCATGCTACTTCCATATTCTAGAACATGTTTGGTAGAGGTGGGTGGGAACAAACAACAGTTTATTCTTGAATTTAGTTGTCCATTCCTATGTTTAACAAACTTTTACTCTACACTTACTGAGTGCAAGAAACTGACCAGGCAGGATAGATAGAAGTGAATGGAATTGAGTCGGCCCCCTCAAGGCGTATTCATAAACGACTAACTGTAATAAAGTACGGTAAGTGCTCTAACAAGGTGTGTGCAAGGCACTTGGGGAACACTGAAAAGGAAGTGAACAAGTCTGCCTGGCCTTGGGCCTCCCAGGGGGCTTCAGCAGCAATGGTGATGCTGGAGCTGGATTTTTGAAGGGCGAGGAGCTGACAAGGCAGAGATGGGAGTGGGCACCCAGGCACAGGAAGGAGCACCGCAAGGGCCTGCGGGCATGAGGGCGCATGGCAGGTGCTGGGAAAGTACAGGTGCCCTGTCCCTGGGTTGGGAATGGAAGTGGAAGAGCAGTGGGGTTACATAGTGAAGGCTGTCAGTGTCTTGGGACAGGTCTGGATGGGCTTGATACTTGGTGTGAACAGTGGCAGGGAAAGTTTCTAAGCAGGGCAATGAAAGCAAAGAAACAAAAATACATGTGACTTTTGTGGGATATTTGCAACACTGGCTCTAGATGGAGTCCGCGACTTTCTGGTTTGTGGGCGCCCTAGCCGCCCGGATCAGGTCCTGCGGTTTGCTAGAGCGCTCCCCTTGGCAGGGCTCAGGAAGGAGCCAGGCTTGGGGCCGCTGCCGGGTGTGAGTCCTGGTGCTGCCGCATTCCAGCTGAGGAACCCTTGAGCAAATGACCTAACTTTTCTGTGCTCAGTTTTGTTATCCATATAACGGTGAAGGCATAGAGTTGTTTTGTCGTTCAAATGAGCTAGAATGTAAAATGCCTACTAGGCTGCCTGGCACATAGTAATCACTCGATATTAGTGTTTATGTGTATTAGTACTATCATTACTGCTGCTGCTGCTACCAAAGTTGGGGTGGGCAATGGGAAGACATGGTACTCAGAACCTGGAACAAGGAGGATATTAAATATCTGTCAAGCCTGATGTCGTGGAGCTTCTGGACCCAATTTAAACACTAAGGGAATTTTTGTAAGTAAATAGAGAACATGTTTTAAGTATGCCTCCCATAGGTCATGCACAGAACAGGTAATGTAGAATGCTTTTCCTTTCCTTAAAAGGCTCCAAGGATTGTGGATTTTCTGTTAGAACTTGGGATGTGAGAGTGAGGACGCTTCCCAAGCCCAGCTCTGTTGAATGATGAGCATGGGGCCCGGAACAGTGTAGGCACCCAACCCAAAAAACCAAACGCGTTGCCATGGAGTCAATGCCGACTCATAGTGACCCTGTAGGACAGAGTAGAATTGCCCCATAGGGTTTCCAAGCAGCAGCTGGTGGATTCGAACTGCCAGCCGTTTGTTTAGGAGCTGAGTTCTTAAGCACTGTGCCACGAGGCACCCAGTAAGTGCTTATTAAACTGTCTTTTTCCACCCAAGAGCCTTGAGCCTCGTGGTAAAGTGAGCTGAGTTAGTGTTTCCTATCTGAACTTTCTGTAGTACATAGGGTCGCTGTGGGTCAGAACCGACTCGATGGCACCTGATAACAACAACAACAAATCCGAACTTACCTCCCCTGCCTGCGCGGTGTGGGGAGTGAAGCCTCATTTTGTCTGTACGTGGGATACATTGAGGGCCAACAAACAGATTTTAATTCATTCAGACAACTAACTCTTTCAAAGCAACTGCTTAAATAAAAACTACTCGTTATTTTTATTAAGTTTCAGCCACAGAATCACAAGTAAATCAGTTAATCTATATCCCTGGTTTTCAGATACAAAAGCTGGGACCCATTATGAGAAAATAACCTATCTGGCATCGGATAGTAAGTCAGACTCAGAACCCAGATCTCCTTAGGGTTGAATGAATGTATCTTTTTTTTTCTGGCAGCTTCTCTACCACCCGTGTTTGTCTACCAGCTGCCACAAAGGGCGTCTTGCCGCTAGACACAGAGTTGTTTTACGTTAAATCCCCTCCGTATCGAGAAGTCACCCTTACCCTTAGGCCTCTGGTGGAAGGCAGCCTGGTGAGCTGAAGAAAGCATCTGTTGGGGGGCAGCTAGATCTCGTGTTGAATCTTTGCTCTGCCCTCTGTGTGACCTTGGGGTAATAAACCTTACTTCATAGGGTTGTTAAATGAAAATTGAAGAGGAAATGTTTATAAAGTTCTTAGTGATAAGAGCGCAGATCATGCTGGTTCTTTCCCTTGTTGAATTTGGTTATCTTCTCTAAGCTTCAGTTTCGTTATTTGTAAAATTGGCATCACAAGACACGTCTTACAAAGTTGTGGAGAGGATGCAAGGCCCAGCATGGTGCCTGGCGCCTGGTGGCTTCTCAGCAAATACTCATTTCTTCTCATTGGCGTGTCTTGTTGTGGGGCAGCTCTTGGGGTTCCTGAGGCTTGCCTGGGTGGGACTGCACTGCCAGTCCTTCAAATGCCGGCTTCCGGAAGAGTCTGTGTCTCCTCAGGGTCTTGCTCAGAATTCTCCGCCTCTCCACACCTTGCTTGTGGGCAGACACTGGCGTGAAGTCTTCCAAGGTCTTCCAAACCTGGCAGAGAAGAGAGATTTAGACACCAAACCTGAAAGCAAGTTGTATTTGCTCAGCACTTTGTTCTGTACAAGAAACCCTGGTGACGCAGTGGTTAAAGCGCTTGCTGCTAACCGAAAGGTTGGCGGTTCAAACCCCCAGCCGCTGTGTGGGGAAAGATGTGGCAATCTGCTTCTGTAAAGATTACAGCCTTGGAAACCCTATGAGGCAGTTTTACTCTGTCCTGTAGGGTCATATGAGTCGGAATCAGTGTGTATTGTCCTGTACAAAGTGTTTTCACATCCCATATCTTATCTCGTTCTCCCAACAGCCCTGTGAGGTAAGTTCCCAGGTAGAGTCACCATTTCCTAGGTAAGGAAGCTGAGGCCCAGCGAGGGGAAGAGACTTTTCTCTCTTTCACAGCCAGAAAATTAGCTGATATTTGAACCCAGAACTTCACCCGTTCATACAGTTTGTGCTGTCTGTGTGCTGAAGACAGGCAGGTGGCCCTAATTCTGCATCCTTTCTTTCCTTCCTTTCTGCCTGTCAGCCTAGTGCAGCCCCCCTCAAGCCAAGATTCTAGAGAAAGAATGGGCGCAGCAGAGTGATATTTTTGCTGCCTGACCACTACATGGAAGAGAAATTTAGCATTTGACCCTTGAAAGGTCTGCTTTTCTGACACTGTTACTTGGTACTCACAAAGTCTGTCTATTTACAGCAATGAGTTTTGAATACTCATTCTTCAACTTCAGGCCCTATCTACGAAACCTAAAGTCAGTTTAGCTTATTGCCCTCAAGTCATTTCTGACTCATAGTGACCCTATAGGGCAGAGTAGAACTGCCCCATATCGTTTCCAAGGAGCGGCTGGTGGATTCGGAGCTGCCGACCTTTTGATTAGCAGCTTAGCTCTTAACCATTGCACCATCAGGGCCAATTTAGCAGGTTAAAAAAAAAAAAAAGGTAAATAAAATAAAGCCATCACGGAGCCTGCTGGTCTCACCTCACCGGGGGGAGGAGAGGGATGCAGAGCTAGCTGAGGGCTCTCATGGGACACCATCAAGGCTCTGGGTTCAGGAATGACCCCAGTGGTGGGGACAGTCAGTCACAGGTTACTGGGACTTTTTTCTACAGAAATTGACATCTAGTAGCTGTTTCAGGGGCAGGCGGGGGCTCTCACACACGGCTCTTCTGCGTGAAGGAGAAGGAGTTCAGTGAGCCAGCCCCCATGGAGGAGACCCAGTGCTGCAGCCCCAGCCCGGGTCAGCCTTCTGTGCACGCTGCCGTGCACACTGCTGCCCCCTGCTGTTCAGAGAGCTTGGCTCACAGACCGCGCGGCCCAGCCCTTCTGGGTGCTGCATGATGAAGCGTGAGGCACGTGCTTAGCTGAGACTCGGAGTGGAGCTGCTTTGGCCTCGTTGAGTGATGCAGATGGTGGTTATGGTAATAATAACATTTAGGCTTTCTTTTCAAAGTCTGTTGTTGTTGTTATTAGGTGCTGTTGAGTCAGCTCTGACTCAGTGACCCCAGGCACAACTGAATGAAACACTGCCCGGTCCTGCGCCATCCTCACAATTGTTGCTGTGTTTGAGCCCATTGTTGCAGCCACTGTGTCAATCCATCTCATTGAGGATCTTCCTCTTTTTTGCTCACCCTCCACTTTACCAAGCATGGTGTCCTTCTCCAGGGACTAGTCCCTCCTGATAACATGTCCAAAGTACGTGAGATGAAGTCTCGTCATCCTTGCTTCTGAGAAGCATTCCTGCTATACTTCTTCCAAGACAGATTTCTTCATTCTTCTGGCAGTCCATGGTATATTCAGTTTTCTTCACCAGTTCTTCTTGGGTCTTCTTTATTCATTGTCCAACTTTAGCATGCATATAAGGCAATTGAAAATACCATGGGTTGGGTCAGATGCACCTTAGTCGTCAAAGTGACGTCTTTGCTTTTTAACACTTTAAAGAGGGTTTTTTGCGGCAGATTTGTCCAATGCGATGCATTGTTTGACTTGTTGACTGCTGCTTCCTTGGGCATTGATTGTGAATCCAAGTAAAATGAAATCCTTTACAACTTCAGTCTGTTCTCTGCTTGTCATGATGTAGCTTATTGGTCCAATTGTGAGGCTTTTCACTTCCTT